CGCTGGGTACGGGCACATCGTATATCGCACTTTAACTGCTTTCTTCCAAGTGATTCACATCCTACCAGGTACTCATTTATATTCCTGGATGCAAGTATCTTGAGGGCACAATCAGTGTATCAGTGTAACAAATCTCTGAAACTCATGACCTTTCGAATAGTGTAAAAGACTGAATTATTTATAACACTGCGCAAAAATCCGGCTACAGCCTACTGTAAACGTCTTTAGTCAAAGGCTGCATTTTGAACATACGTGATGATAAATATAGGCTTCAAGAAAATGTTGACGTCACATCGTATCAGGGTAGTACCGGTACCACTTTGACTCTGCCGGTTCCGGGGCGGATACAGGATTTGGCGGTAGGGGTTGCTTGGGAGTTCACACAACCTCTGTCACACCATGTTTGGGGACTGAAGTGAGATACTTTTGAGAATATGGACCTCAAGGTGTCCGGAAATTGCACGCTCACACTCTCATACTTTTTAAAATCAATATGTTCATAATAATGAAAATAACATATCAACTATACAATACATTAATTATTTTTAAAATACAATTTAGGGCAGTGCGATCGCACCTTCTGCACCCCCTGCATCCGCCCCAGTGGTCTATCTGGTTTTAATGTTATCGCCTTCGTCATCGTCATCATAAAGGTTATCGTTAACATTAATATTATCAACACCATTAATATCTTTATAATAGGCCTATAGTTGTTATTGTCACTACTAGTAGACCTATCACTATTTATTATTAAGCCTATTATCAATATTATTAGAAAGGTCCAGCGCTTAGAGAGCAAGAGGTGTTATTTAAAAAAAATTGACAAACTATGACGTTTAAATGGACTTTAAATTTGTGTTTCTGCACAGATTTAATCATTATCAAGTACGGTATTTGTTTAAGTATAAATTATAAATTAATGCGAATTTGCGCAGAAGAAAAGAATTCCGGATAGAAATTCTTATTTACTGTACATGGCTAAAATACGCTTTATCAGATGAAATATGTCAGGAAGAAGGTAAAATGCAGAATGTAAAATCGATGTTTAAAGTGAATTGTTAATACAATAATAGTCATGTCATTTACAGAACTTGTTAGACATACAACTTCCACATGTTTTGGTTATTTACACAGTTACACTTTAAATTTGTGTTTCTGCACCGATTTAATCACTATCAAGTACGGTATTTGTTTAAGTATAAATTGATACGAATTTGCGCAGAAGAAAAGAATTCCGGATAGAAATTCCTATTTACTGTACCTGGCTAAAATACGCTTTTTCAGATGAAATATGTCAGGAAGAAGGTAAAATGCAGAATGTAAAATCGATGTTTAAAGTGAATTGTTAATACAATAATAGTCATGTCATTTACAGAACTTGTCAGACATACAACTTCCACGTGTTTTGGTTATTTACACGGTTGTGACGTTGTGAATTATTAATGGAATTGGAATAAACTCACGTTTTTCTCGTAGTATGTGCATTTTGGAAGTGGGAATGTTCACTTTAATCACAACTTGTAACTACATGTCATATGATCATCAATCAATATTCATCAAACGATCTCGTGTAGATTTTCAATAAATCTCACTCACACCTATGATCGACATGTAATTCGTGTTAAGATTCTGGATTCAAATTAATTTATTGTCAATAATCATGACATTCTGTCTCGGAAACAACCATTCCGTATTACTACATAACATAACATGAATGTCACACCTGTAGGCTTATATAACATACTGTACACCGTTTCTAGTCGTTATTCCTTAATTCAATTTTATTAGCCAACATTAATTTTGGCTTATTAGTAGATAAGCCCAAAAGTGGTTCGAATCTTATCTTAAGAGTATATTGTCCTAAAAATGACCAAAAATAAAGTTGCAATTAACATTTTGCTGTAACAACAATTAAATTTAGCATAGAAATTACTGAATTAAAAAAATGTACCCTGATTTTTATACTAGATAATGATAAAAACAATGAAAACACTCCAGTGACTGGAAGTGTTTCTATCATTTTTCTCTGTAAAATTATGGTAAACTTTTTTTTTTTTTTATATATATATACACTAATTCTATATTCAACTTTTGTTATTTCAAATTGAGCAAGTCTAATTTCATAAATGTTTTTATAATATATTTTGGAATTTTTTATGGAACAACACAACTTTAATTATCGCAGCAGTTGTGTCTTCATTAAAAATACGTTTTTATAACATCACTCACAAAAATCTGGTGTACTCCCAGGTTCAGTTGTTTGACGATGTTATATACATAACAAAAAGTTCTGACCGAATAGCATATTGATATTATTATGTTTACAGGGAATGGCACATATCACAAAATAAAAATAATAGCAATAATTACCATTATTATCATCATTCTTATTATTATCACTACCTACACAGCTTAATCCATCATACACATTTGAGCCAAGTACATTCCCAGTCCATACATAACAACAAAACTTAATTATTTTGACCGAATAACATATATTATTATAATACACATTTTGAAAAAGATTGTTCTGTGGATATTTTTACCAACATTCACATATCATGATGTTGATATAGTTATGTTTACATTGAATGGATCATATCACAAAAGTAATAATAATAACAGCAATTACAATTATTATCATTTTTTGTTGTCATATTTATTATCATCACTTTCCACTACTGTCATTAATGATTACAGTATATTTAAATAAACTCCATCATTATTATACAGTCGAAGTTGTACATTGTGTAGATATCATAGAATAGTATTTTGTTACCACCATTGTGTACACTGAAGGATCACATTACATCATGACATCATCATTGATTAAAGTGAACTGAATATCCACGAATTCTTAATTCAAAAAAGTATAAGTTGATTAGGTTAGAATTGTTCTCATACGTGAATTTGCTGATACATAGTTTTGATATTACAATTAAATGATTTACAGTTTTTCGTTTATTTTTTTTGTCATTTTCAAAAGCTATATTACTCGTAATATTAATTTTAATACAAATTATATATGACATGTTCAACTACTTTCCAAAGGAATTGACCGTTATACAATAAAAGCTTGAATAGATGTTTAGTATCATCAATAGTATTGCATATATCAATATTTATTATTTGATTTCCCAATTTTATGTAAATATTTATTAGTTGGGTATATATTATGAATGATTTTCCATGAAAGTGTTAATAATCGTGGCTCTTTTGAGCAGTTGTTCCTTCCAAACATTAGGGACGCTATTGTGAATGGAGTGATTACCGTATTCGGTTTTTTTAAACACATTCTATTACTTTTTGTGGAGACCGTAGTGTTCGGTCAAAGTTATAAATATCTCGAAGTGTTATATTATTCCTGCTTCAATAAATTCAGTATCGAAAAAATTTAAGATAAAAGTTCTCCATTATGAGTTATGTTTTTATTTTTCCAAATGATTTCGTTGATTGGATTGATTACTTGTTCTTTGCTAACGCATGTGTTAGATTACATCATGTTCGGGTGAAGATGGAGATGTCATTCGGCTTTATTTTGATTTCAACCCTCAGAGCTTCAGTCTGGAAATCTTGCTCTGAGCAAGCTCTCAGTATGTATGGATAAATAATAAACGCAATGAAACAGAATTTTTAGTGTGTGCATCTAAGCGACATTTAGAGCTTGGTCATAGCTGTGTTGTTCCTTTGAGGACTAAAAAATCATCGCAACAACTCTGTTCATAATTTTAGTGTTACTTGACTCACTGAAGTCTCTTTCTATAAAGACACAAACAAAAATTGAAAAAAAAAATGATATTAATAATAATAATTATAGATAATAATACTGGATGTCGGTATTGGTCCTGGTATGTTCAGTTTCAGATGATTCAGATATGTTTTAGTAAATGCATTCATTCGTGAATAAAATGTTGAGATATATAAATACACAGAATAAGAAATGTTATTTCCCCTTGTACTAAAAGTAAGCATAGGCCTAGACATAGTACAAATAAATTATCTGTGAAGTGCGTGAGCTAGTTGTCGACACATTTGCAACGTTATGTTTTTTGGACATATTTACTTTGTTTTGTTAGTTGGTTCAGAGGGTCAACACACTCTTTTTAGAAATGTACCGCTACGCTAAATGTTATGGTGATCCATTTAGTATGGTGATCCCGTCATCCTCCATGGAGGTATTAAACAGATGATCCTACTAACAAACAGACAACTGTGTAGACTACATAACCCCGTGGCGGAGGTACTAAGAGATGAGTAATTAAATGTTGTAGGCCTATCTCCGTGATACCGAATGTTGACTAAAATTAATGTGTAATCGGTATTAGGCCTACCAGAAGCACTTAACCTATTTTTTTTTTTTTACAATTCTAGTGATAGTATAACTTATAGAGCGTGATAAATAACTTGTTAACGTTCCAGGCTGAACCTTTGCAGGAAAATGTAATTAAAATTGTACGAGCACTATATGTACATAACATGTAGGCTGCAGGTCCATTTGTGTGGCTAATAGTATCCTGTGTTTTATTTATTGCATATTGTGTATATTTCATAGCTGATTACCCTCTACATCGTGTAAATACAATTACAGTGTTTTATAGTCATTTTTGGTTTATGTATTTACATGTATTCATGTTTCTTTCTCTTCTGGAGGAATAAGCAACTCAATTTATCTACTTATGGCAATGATAAGAAATTAAATTGTTAACAATATTATTTTCTGCAGCTTTACCAGCTGCAATTTCATGGCATCCAGAGGTGCCATTTTTCCAACATAGACTGTCATCCATGCTAACTTTATATATTGTGGCTGCCCCTTGAGGGGAAGGAATAGCGGGTCTAGGTTGCCAGCATCTATTTCCGGACATTCATATGCGCAAAACAAGTTGTTTACCAACAATGGTGGGGCTAGAGTTGATATGATAATTATGCTCTCAGACCTCAACTAACTTCAAAATCATGTAGCTGTGGATAGAGATAGCGGGTCTCCACTCTTTACTACCAAATTTGTCATTGTGCACCGACGGCTATGACATTAGCATCAGAACCTATGGATACACAGGTGCAACATCTTGAAAACAAATCGATATCGGTATGGCTTCCGAAATTCTATACATCTCAGTAAGGTAATAATGATAGTGTATCTGTGCAAATCCCCTAGGCCTACGGTGTACTGTAGTGTGAGTCTCTTACCTACTCTCTTACTTTTTGATAATAAACCTACAGTACGTTGCTGATCGTCTTTTTGTGTGCATAATAAAGCCGGGCACACACTGCGTCATACGACGGGCGTATAGCGAGCTTTCGAAATGGGCGACGCGGGGCGCTTCGACGGGGAATTCAGTCAACCATGAACGTCGTACTATGCACTTCCCGTCTCAACATCAAAGTTGTTTCGATTTACAGGACGACGCGCTTCCTCGTATCGCGTGATCAATTATGCAGGCGCCCCCAGCGAGTGAGCATTTATAAAACTCACGTTGCCGTAGTCAACACAACGTCAAATCGCTTGAAGCCCGTTGCCAAATCCACACAACGAACGTCTTCCCCATGTATTCGCATTCGCAGTACGGTTTCACGCTTCACTGCCCGTCGTAGAACGCCGCGTCGTCCAAATCGAAAGCTGCTTTATGACCTGGCGTATGACGAATCTCCATTACCTGTGAGCGCTAGGCGAGAGCCTTAGTATCCGGATCGGGAGCTAACCGTTAGCGCTAACCGTTAACACCTGCGTGAGAACGCCCGATCGGTTAGCGCTAACCGTTAGCAGTATCCGGATACCGCTAACGGTTAGCAAGCGCTATCGGTTAGCAAGTTGAGCGCGTTTTTATCACCAACCAATCACACGTACGCGTTTACAATTTACGCTTATTGGCCAGTGATTTGATCATCATATTTTTGGTATCCGGATCGGGATTTTCTCGTATGAGCGCACGGCAGCTAACGGTTTGCAGGATCCGAATCCTGCTAACCGTTAGCAGCCGTGTGAGAACATAGGCTACGCCGTCTTTCATAGAAGCGCGTCGGCCGACGACCGTCAGACACAGTGAGTGCCCCGGCTTTAGTGTGCAGCCATTTAAAAAATGTTAGTGCTTATTGGATTGATTGAGTTTTCTTCAGTTATTTTAATTGAAAGGTCTAATTGTTTTCCAGTGATTTTTTTGTTAGTGTATGTGATTGGTAGGTTTATAATAAGTGTCGTATAAAATTAAGCATGTTTTATACAGTGTTACATGTTCGTCTAAAGCGCTTTTTTTTAACAGTTTTACTTTTTAAATTTAAAATTCACTAGTGGCATTTAGTTATAGTTATTGTCGAATCATTAAATCATCTTGCATTCTGTGTTGATCGTATTCTTGCTGATGTTGATTTGTAAAAGAGTATTACATTCTCTTGGGAGTTTATGATATTCATTTTATTGTTTCTCTGAACCATCAGTTTTTTACACATTTAGCTTAATATTTAAGTCATGAACATTTTAAATATAAAACAGCTTGTAGATTTTATCTCCCTTATGACATATATTATATTCAAGCAGTATGTTTACATCATGTTTACGAAAACTTTATTTCTAATAATAATTCCCATGTCTTTATTTTAAATAATGACCAAATATTCACAAGATACCTAGAGCAGTGGCGGTGCTACTGGGCGAGGGAGTGCTAGGGGCTACAGCCCCTCCGTCGGGGAGGCTTTGCGTTGAAAAGAACAGGCAGTGTGAACAAGCTATAAAAAGTGAGGAAACAGAGGCCCTATATCAAAAAATATTAATATGTTAATAAATGCAATGACAACCGTAACGTGTTTTTGTGAATTGTATGTGTTCTTGCAAAGCATAACATAGTTTTTGTTTCCTTTTATTCCAATCTCTTAGATTAGCCTAATTATACCGTTCTAACTGAAAGTTCAAAACATGTTGCCTTTACATTAACACCTCTAAAATAACGATGGATACTAATTTCAAATCTCCTGGTCCTGATCATTATTTTTACTATACTCAAACTCTTTGCAAAATATATCCCTGGGGTGTTTTTTGTTTACTAAATTTGTATTTGTAAGTTGATGAGGTCAATTATCTCAATTATTTCTATGTTCAGTACAGTGTAAAAAACTCTTAGAAATATTGTTACGTATATTAAATGGAACAGCAGATGCTAGTCAGTATTGTTTTATGCAAATTCAAAGTTAATCCACCAGAAGACTCTGGATAATAGTGTAAACATTCACACATTTTCTCGGCTGAATAAAGAAGTTGATAACTAGTTATTTCATTATTTAAAATAAACTATATCTCCATAAATAGAATATGTGGTCCTATTATTAAACTGTTTTAGCTCTTCTTTTTTATGTATTAAATTGTTTGGCAACCAGTTATTCCATTATTTATATATTTTTTTGTACTATCTACAACTGTATCAATTAGAAAAAAAACTCATCAGAAGAAAAACCACACTAAATCCCCCGGTTCAGTGTCTGAGCAAAAGAATTTTTTCTTAAGATTGCCTGTACATTAGGCTACCTGGTATTATATGCCTCAAGGGCTTACTCAACATAATTATTGTATGTAGGAATGTATCTATGTTCAACATCCCATAGGAATTTCTAGGTTTATTTCATTTAATCACAGACATATTGTAACTAAACCCTTCAAACACATTAAGAGCTCTGCACTCACCAATGCTATACACATACAGTTGAAATTGATTTCCTCGTTTCTATTACCAGCTGCCGAGGATCTCAGAGATGTACTTCGTTTCCATAGCGTCACAAAACCCACTTGAAACATTTATAATCATTCCTCACTGCAAAGCACTATATTACTCTGAACAAGAATAGAGTGTAGCCATATTGTTTTCAATTTTTTTATTCACTTGTTTAAATATGCTTTATTAAAATCCTATAGAGTTTATTTATCTTTCCTTAGATGCTAATTTATTTTGTTTGAACTTCTTTGAACAATATAATACTAGGCTATATGTTTCATTTCTCTCACATCTACCAGAAACTGCACTTCCCCAATAAACGTTCTGCTAAGGTTCCACAAAATGATAGCGCAAACGTACGTAAGCACGTGCGTCTACGGTACAAACGCGTATTGCTGGCCATGTTCAATTTGATTTACACTCGGGAAATGCTAACTATCGAGGGTGTACGTGATCTATAATTTAATAATGATCTTGATGCTTAAGTAGCGGAGTTGTTGCATTAGTCATGAGAGGAAAAAAACAATAATAATTTTTAAAAAAATTACACCATGTTAATAAAGAATTTGAAAGTAAATACCCTATAATTGGAAGTCAAATATCTTAAGCTCCAGAAACAGCATTACAGTACTTTGTAATAACCTTGCTTAAAGTTTCATGTCTCCTTAGTGTATATCTGGCTACTTTACTGGCCGTAATAACGGTAGTCTTGACGGTAATTATGTGCTGTCAATTATTCCAGACTATCAGCAAACTGGATTACGATTCATCGAACTTATGTGAATTAATTTTTTTTTTAGTTTTTTTTTCGCATTTGCACTCAAGACAAGTATAATGCCTCGCACATTACATTCACATGTTGAAGCTACAATTCACGTCACATGACGTTTGGGGAATTTAAAAGTAGATTTGGGAAAATGGTTAACGTGACTGTCGTTGAACCAGAGAATTCACAATTTAATGAAAATAAAGGTAACTGGATTTTTTTCTCAAATATTCTAAGAAGCATTCGTTTTCCAGAAGCACTTGGAAAATCTCACTATTTTTCTTTCTTGTCAAATTCTTTTTAATTAATGTGACTTGTGCTGTCCTACAGAAAACCGGTTCACGAATGGTCGTGGATATAACAGTGGTCTAAATTGTTTTTGCAAAATGTAACTATTGAAGCATTTGTGAGTGTTGATGACACGTGTTTAGTTACTGTATGTCTACTTAACAAAAAGAATCAATGACGTTCTTGTAACGTCTCAGTAAATTTAAATATTTTCTTAATAATCACAAATATTCATATTTCATTTAAAAGTCATCAATACCAATGTGTGGAAGTTGTAACTAGACCATGACAAATGAATCACTATGATCATAAATTGCTGTAGAGAGCTGAGTAAAATGTCAAAACACAACTTTAATGTGTTGTTGAGCGTATTTCTGCATCATTGCTAATTTGAGATTAAACTACTCGAGGCCTTTGTGAATGTTCTGTTAAATCTGTTGCTCCTCTTTTATCCGTCCCTTTTCACTCATGTCACTAAGGTAGACACATTTTATAACTAGAATAAGTACATTCTGACCCCTTCATGGGAACTATAAAGAAAATACTAAGTCTACATACAATTCGCGTAGCCAGCTACGGTTAGGACAGTCCCACACAATTTTTCTATTGGGTCCACAAAGAATGGGTCCACATTTTATGAAATGGGTTTAAATTATGCTGTACAAAATTAAAATTATTTTTGCACAAAAGTCTACTTTTTGAAAAATGGGTCCAGATTCTCATATTTTGCATAAAATGGGTCAACTTTCAAAAAAATTAGTCCACATTATTTGAATTTACGTGTAAAGTGGGCCCACCCTAATATAGGGTGGGGCTGAGCTCTTCCCTGACCCCTTCTATTTCGAATCCACTGCTTTAAAAGTGAAAATGGAGAGGGGGGCTGACATAGAAAAACATGGAAGTATACAATTCTGTCGGCCCGCTACTGTTCTCAACAGATTACAACTGGCCCCCAGCTTAAAAATTTGAATACCCGGGTCCTATAGCTACCTATAAAAAGACTCTATGGGCCTCCATTTTCTACGAATTCCTGGATCCATCATTGATAAAAAGTAAGCAAAGATCGGTGTTATATCCATGTTATTCTTCAGTCAAATTTCAGGGATTTAAAAAAACTTGGTGCAGGCCTATATAGGGCCACTTACTGTAAAATTATGAGATGGGTGGTGGATAGTGTGAAAAATCAAAACCCAGAGGAAAAAAAAAGTTTTGAAAGGGGGAACTAGACCAACCTCAGCCCCACCATAGTTGGGACTTAGGTAAAAAAAAATTAAGATTATAGCACCTCTAAGATGAGGAGAATGAAACTGCCATAATTAAATATTGAATATAATTTCTTCTCCATTTTGTAAAAGTTTGCTGCTTCCCCAATCCCACCCCCTCCCAACAACATTAATTCGCCACTGGCTATATCAATTTGTGTATTGAATGCGTTCAACCATGGTTCAGCCATCTCGGTTCCACGTATTGTATAGTCGGTCATTAATAAATTATGGATATGTTTATAGGATTCGTTTACAAGAAATAGTCATTCAAAATTGATTACAACAGTACCGTAACTTAACTCATATGAACATAATTTATGTGTATCAGAAAACTAGAAAAAATATGGGTAAGCCTAGGCCTAATCATTAGACCTAGTACATAAGTAAAGAAGAATTATGATAACAACGTTGTTATTAGTATTATTTATTTTAGTTTTAGTGAAACAACTAGCGCTGCTACCATAACTTATAATCGCTATTTATATTAAACGTTAAACGTATTTTATTTGTATATCGTTTTTATTATTGTATACAAGTGGCTAAATTAATGAGTGATCTTTAGATAACAGTAACTGTATTCGTTTGGAAGCACTAAAATCTCAGTGGTTAGGAGATTGGTTGAAAGGTATGACGTCATTAATGGAGGACGTTCATACAGATCTGGTAGTATAGTCGATTGTGAACGCTTTATTTCTTGCAGTTTGGAATATGAACGGTAAGTGGCCTATATCAGATTCAAATCAACAATTAAATCTTTTTTTTTCTTTCGCAGACTGGGATCGCAACATGGTTTGTATGATCGCAGTAGATGTATTAATTTGAAATACAACGCATTACTACTAATGGGCTTTTGGACAATATCTATTTACCAATAGTCTATTCCGGTGGATAATTTTACGAACAAGGGAAATATTCAACATTGTTATTTTAATATGGTCTGGATTCCTGCAAATGCTTGCATTTTTTAACAAGATTTTAAATAGCCGGTACAATAATCCTAATGTCGTTTAATCAACGCACTGTAACACCGAAGAACGATATCATGTAATAACATAAAGTTTCGATACGATATTGAGTTGATAAATTCGCCCAAAGCCAGCCGTCTGCAGTTCACGTGGAGTTGTAAGTTAGATTGCTAATAATAACGATTAGTGTTCGTTGCATAGGTGGGCTTATGTATACATATACTGTTTAAATTGGTTTTAAGGAAACATTGAGCCATTGAGGAGTAGATGTCACACAGCAGATAACGCTTAATAATAATAGCTTAATGTGGGAAAGTTGCCATCTTGCATCGCTAACGTACCTTGAAATAACAACATATATTTTTCAGAGAATTATATATGATTTTCCAATTCTAAAGGCGATAGTAAATTTGCATACAGTTTAAGTAAATTGGCGTGATATCGGCTTGTTGTACGCCTATCATACGGAATTAAATAGAAAATTATTGCGAAAATGGAATTAAACTTCGTTTTGATGATGGTCTATTTGTACCTGCTTGTAGTGTCATTAGCAATCCATTCGGTCCAGGGTAAATCGTACGTGCATGCGGATGTTTTTGCAATACTGCCTGTAGAAGGAGATGAATCGTTGTATATTGATAACGCAAAACCGGCGGCCGACATTGCCATAAAGGAGGTAAATATGTTACTATCCCCCTACGGAATAAATTTATCAATGGAATATATGAACACAAGCTGTGGATTTACGGAATCTACTGTTATCTTCACGGAAATAGAACGCAGACAGCGATGGGATCAACACACTCCCATCCCCTATGCGATAATATCGCCTGTATGTGTGGATGGAAATGAGCACTCGGCAGCTTTGTCCGAGGAGTGGAATGTGCCCATAATCATGGACACGGATGCCGTCCGAACAAAAACTATGACAAAAGCAATGAGTTGGTTCCCTAACCTGTATCTGGGCGTTCGTTCAGTTCTGCAGTATCTAAACTACGGTCGCATATTTTTCATTATCCCGTACAGTACTTTTGCACAAGGAACTAAATTAATGCATGATGTGTGTTTAGGACATAATGATAACATGGAATGTTTCTTCTGTAATCTAGAAGAGAAAATTGAAAACAATAAACCCAAACCGGAACATATAGACAAGTGTCTAAAGGATATACAAAACAAGGCTCGAAGTAAGTAGTCAGTTTTTTAATTGTTCGTATTTTTTATGCAGTATTATTTTTCAGATCAAGAAAGTTCACGTCGTATAATTTTACAAAAGTTAGTTGAATATGATTCTAGTTTTATTTTGATGATGTATTAAGGGGACACCCCTATTAATATTCTTTTACCACTACGGCCAACATGGATTTAGGGGACACTCCTGTTAACTATCCCTACACATTACTTTATTATTATTTGCTTATTATTATTTGATAATTATTATATTAATTTTATTATTATCATTAGTAATAAAAGTATTACCATTATCATTATTATTAATCTTTTTTATTAGTATTAATATTATAATTACTATTTATTTATTTTTTTTACATGTTCTACATTTAAACAATTTAATAGATGACATAATTATTATTTCTAGCGTTTATTGTTGGTATTACAGTAATTCAACAATTGAAATTACACTGAACTCCAATGTATAATTATGGTGCAATCCAGTCAATCCACCAATGTTATTTTCGTCTTTAAAAAAAACGTACAGAAAGATATTGATCGTAGTAGCCTAATCTGTTTAGCATACAGTAGTTATTTTGTTACTCTTAAATGATTCTATTCATGTAGAATTTTTTTAGTGAAATTTTAAACGTTCTTACGATAAAAGTGTTTTACTACAACATTCGGCAATGCCAAGAGTGTGAACGTGTGATGGTATGTTGTTATCAGATTAATATTGATGCAGTAATTGAGGCTGTACTGTTTTATAGTATACAATTGTTCAGAATGTTGTGGGTTCGCATTTGTTATAAAATGCATCCACTGTTAATTGGACTAAAATAGCTCGTAGCATGATTTAGTGTTTTAGACGTCATCCACTAACCGTGCGTGCAATCGCGTGTTAAGCCGGGCACACAATGCGCGCGTCGTACGAAAAATTCCTTGCTACGGCGGTCGTCATTATTTAAAAAAAAATCCGTTGTGCGCGCCTCGTCGCGTTGCGTTCTCCGTAGAAACACGAAACACTTCGGTTGTCTACGCAGAGTGTGCCTGCCTTTGATGCGTCGTGGTACTACATTTCGGCTACAGTAACCATAGGTTTGGTCCGAAGTATTGTATACCCATGACCATGCAGTATGCATGTTTATTGTATTAATTGCTAAAACAAGAGTCATTGTTATCTTGCCACCTTTCTTGATTGTATAGGGTGCTCAACAAAAGACCAAAGTTCAATAATCTATGTTTTCTTACGTACAATTTGTCAACCCCAAAACTCATAGAATAATAAAGGCGAACCCGATAAAAGTATCCCTAGAACTGGTGTAACTTGCAGTACTTGTTTTAGTAATTGAATTAGTATCGTACAGGTAAACATAACGTATTACAGTATTAGCAAAATCTGACATAGTGGTTGTAAATATTTATGACGTGTTTGCATGCTGTACACTGCCAGCTTTGTAACGCGTGTCCATTCCTGACTGATAAATTGAGTCATATCTAGAAAAAAAAAAATTGAAATCCATCAAACTGGATGTTACAAGTTTGTCTAGAGTCTTATAACATGTATAAACAATGGGACTGCTGCTCTTACGTTCCATTCGTTTATTTAAAAGTAGGTGATGATTAATATACATTCACTTGAAAAAAGGGTTTCCTTTAAAAAGGTAATCATAAATTGGCTAGTTGGACAGACTTAAGCAGAGGGACGGGAGTCGTGCCCCGCAATATTTTAAAATCTAAATTCACAGGAAAATAAGCTAGCCTTTTATGTTAATTGAAATTTAACAGTTAATTGTTCTCGCACCGCTATTCCTGAATTTACTATAAGACAACAGCACCCTCACGGCAAGGTAACTATTTTTATTTCAGCAAATATTGATTTGTTGTACAAACTTATAGCTAGGGTAAGACATTGAAGGGTTTCTGAAAAATAATAGGGAACGGCTAATAAGATTTTAGAAAGTCAAAAACTGGGGGAAATGGGCGTAAACAGCACCGTTAGTCGTTCGTTTGGTTTTGGCATAGGGGTGGCGCAAGGATTTGCCCGACGGGTGGGTGGGGCGAGGTCACCGACGAGGGGTCAGACTTCAAAATTCAGGAAGCAAAATGGGCGTGGTCGAGCTTCGATTAAAAGGCTTCGAAAGTGGTGAACCCCGAAAATTTTGACAATTTAGGGGTTTCAAAGGCTTATTTAATCGATTTTGAGTCTACTAATATGTAGAAAATATTGTGTTTTTTACGAATTGTGCTTTTTTCCCCGACGGAAAGGTTGGTGGGGGGGGGGTGCAGCTCTCCCCGACGCAGGCCCCCCCCCCCGGCCACCACGCTGGCGCCACCCCTGTTTTATCATTCCTTCCTTCGTTCCTTGTCCTTGTAATTATTTTTAACGGCCTGTACCTTGCCACTTGTCTCGGGAGTATTTATATGTTTCCTTTAATTATTATAATCCAAAATGTTAAATCTTTACACCCTAATACATATTTTTTACACTAGTTGTTAAAATATAACCTTGAAATACAGGGTCATAGACGAGGAGATGTAGCGAATGTGTGGGGTTAAACCTAATCTAATGGCAGAAATAATATATGTTAAAAAGAACTTTTTTGTTATCCTCTGAGAAGATCTATAATATAGTGCACAAATTGGTTTAAAAAGAACATGACCTATTTAAAACGGTAGGGTATACGAAATAATTGCTATATCGGAACCTGGTAGTATGCCTTCCAAGAATTTTAGATGGCTTCATCTGCTTGTATATCAATTTTTTTTACTTCTTTTTAGTTATTAGTTGCAGCAGATACAATTCTGCCATTTATAGTATGGAAGTATTTACTAGCCTACAAATCAACGGTTTTTAAACCTTTTTTTACCGTTTTAACAACACTGCTTTTTAATTGTTTTTTAAAGTATTTTTTTACTCCAAGATCTTTTTACGGTGTATATACAATTAATTTTGCTAAACCTTTTAAAAGATTTTAGGTAATATTTAAAAATTTTATGAAAATGTTTTTACATTATTATTCAATATACATTTTGTTTTAACCTGTTCTCAGTTTTAGGCAATATTTGCGACTCTGTTTTCTTTTCCCTTTTTATTAATTTTATGAAGTTTCCGTGATTTGTATGTTGATTTTGACTGAATAAATGAATGAATAAATGAAATCAATATAATATTATTTATTTTTGTAAGCAAACATAAAAACACGATATTTATCTTAGAGTTATTGTTTATTGTGTGTATCTATTTTAACAGATCTATTAGCTAGATCGGATGAGAGCCTATGTGTTTGACTTATACGCATATTCTTCATCAATGATGAAGAATATGCAAGAATGCGGCCTACATCAACAAGGCCCGCGCGAGCACATGGCTTACCGAAAACGCATAAGGATTTTGATTCTATTCCACCGCTTCGACCTATAATTGACACCAAAGGCACGGCATACTATCCTGTTGCAAAATTTCTAACTGAATTGTTGTTTCCATTAACCCAGAATGATTTTGTCCTGAAAGACTCATTTGATGCAGCTAACCGTATTAAGAACATTCCGAATCATTTATATTCAGAATTGGGTATCGATTTGTTTCATTTGATGTTCAATCCTTATTTACTAATGTTCCTCTTAATAAAGTCATTGATGTAATATTAGACAGGGTTTATGTTAAGAAATTAATAGTAACTGATCTAAAGAAGGTTTTGCTAAACAAATATGATTATCTCAATTCGCTTTCTGATCTGTTCGCTGATGAGCACAAGTTCAAGAAGTATAACAACGGATCATTAATCACTCAGTTAAACACCCTACAAAACTACCTGAGAACTATTCATAAAAGAGGTGAAATCAATGATGAAGAATATGCAAGAATGCGGCCTACATCAACAAGGCCCGCGCGAGCACATGGCTTACCGAAAACGCATAAGGATTTTGATTCTATTCCACCGCTTCGACCTATAATTGACACCACAGGCACGGCATACTATCCTGTTACAAAATTTCTAGCTGAACTGTTGTTTCCATTAACCCAGAATGATTTTGTCCTGAAAGACTCATTTGATGCAGCTAACCGTATTAAGAACATTCCGAATCATTGATATTCAGAAGGGTATCGATTTGTTTCATTTGATGTTCAATCCTTATTTACTAATGTTCCTCTTAATAAAGTCATTGATGTAATATTAGACAGGGTTTATGTTAAGAAATTAATAGTAACTGATCTAAAGAAGAATACCTTACGTAAGCTTCTCAAAGATGCGTGTACTAAATCTATTTTTCCTGTAATAATCAGCTTTATAAGCAAACTGACGGTGTATCAATGGGTTCTCCGTTAGGCCCGTTTTTGGCCAACATTATCACGACTGAGCTTGAGCAATCGTTAATTCCTGGTTTGGTTAATGACGGCACTGTTCAATTCTACACGCGTTTTGTAGACGATACTCTTTTGCTTGCTAAGCCTTCTGATTTTAATTATATACTTGATTTATTTAATTCTTTTCATCGTAATATTAAGTTCACATTTAAGTCTTTTGAGAATTCTGCTAATATTCATTTTCTTGATATTTCTTTTGATATGCAAGGTACTATGGGTATTTATCGGAAGGGTACCCATACAGGGCAATATGCTCATTTTGAGAGTATTGTTCCATGGGTGCATAAGGTGTCTTGGATACGTAGCCTTTTGTACAGGGCACATAGAATATGTTCCCCTGGTTCATCATTGGATAAAGAGGTTGACATGATTAAGAAACTGGTGTCATGGAATGGTTTCCCTAAGTATATTTTCCATCGTATTCTTTCTAATCTAAATATCCAGAATAATGTAACTGATAATATTAATGTTGATAATAGGCCGAACATTTGGATGCGCTTACCTTTCATTGGTAAGCAAGGTAGCTTTATTATCCATAAATGTATTAAAAAGATAAGTAGACACCTGACTAAGGATGTTAAATCTGTTACGCTCTGGCAAACCAAACAAATTTCATATTTTACTTCTAATAAGGATCGGACGCCAAAAGAGTATTGTAGCTCTTTAATATATAAATTCAAATGTCCTGGATGCCTCGACAGTTATATAGGCAAAACAGATAGATGCTTAAAAGTTCGAGATGTTGAACATTCTCGTAATGTAAACAGTAGTGTACATGAACACATTGAGAGTTGTGAAAGTTTTAACCATATAATTGGTCTACATCTTATGACGGCTGACAATACATCCAAACAATCTCTTATTGAGTCCTTATTATTTGAAAATAATAATATTATTCATGGTTCTCTACATTGGTCTGAAATTTTATTTGCTGAAGCCTTAGCAATAAGAAGATACAAGCCTA